CCCGTGAGACACAGCGCAGCATCCTGGACTACCTGGCAGAGAACCACTTTGAGATGGTCATCAACCTCTCCATGCGCAATTCTGGGGGCCGCAGGCTCTCCTCCTTTGTCACCAAGGGGTACCGCACGCGGCGCCTGGCTGTCGACTATTCTGTGCCACTCATCATTGACATCAAGTGCACCAAGCTCTTCGTAGAGGTAGGGTGGGCATGGCATGGAGAGCTCCACTGGATGATGTTGTGGAGTCTGGGCAGGCATCCTCCTGGCCCTGCCTCGTTCGCCCATGGTGGATGTGCCCAGCCTGATGATGTCTGTGCCTGCAGGCACTGGGCCAGATTGGAGCTGCCCCACCACTCAAGATGCACGTGGACTGCATGACATCCCAGAAGCTGATCCGCCTGCCAGGTTCGAGGGCTGGGGTTGACATGAGGCTGGGGTTGTGCCCCACAGAGCGGCCGTGGGATCAGAGATGTTCCACTCTGCTGCCTTCTCTCCATGTCCACCATATCCCCATGCCCAACCTGCTTCCCCAGTGCTCTCACACTGATGTTTGCCATCCCCAGGGCTGATCGATGTCCATGTGCACCTGCGTGAGCCGGGTGCCACACACAAGGAGGACTTTTCCTCGGGCACTGCAGCTGCCCTGGCCGGGGGTGTCACCATGGTGTGTGCTATGCCCAACACCAGCCCCGCCATCACCGACGCTGCCTCCTTCACCCTGGCGCAGAAGGTGAGTGGGGAGCTGGTGTGGCCATGTCCCCTCCCCATGAGGCCTGCAGGAGGTCAGCCTCTACCGTGCTGAGCCCACTGCATTCCCTCCCCACAGCTGGCCGAGGCCGGGGCACGCTGTGACTTTGCCCTGTTCCTGGGTGCATCGGCGGAGAATGCGGGCTCACTGGGTGCCCTGGCTGCAGCAGCAGCAGGGCTGAAGCTGTACCTCAACGACACCTTCTCCAGCCTGCGCATGGATGATGTGTCGCTGTGGATGGAGGTGAGCTGCTGCTGGAAGGGGGGTGGGGATTGCAGGGGGTCCCGATGCTGGCCCAACACCCATTGCTTCGTGTCTCTGCAGCACTTCCAGCAGTGGCCACGGCATTTACCCATCGTGGCCCATGCGGAGGGGCAGACGGTGGCTGCTGTCCTGATGGTGGCACAGCTGCACCAGCGCCCCGTGCACATCTGCCACGTGGCACGCAGGGAGGAGGTGAGCAGAGAGCTAGGTCCCCCTCCTGTGGCTCGTGAGGCGTGTTGGGGGCTACCCCTCACTGTGCCCCCTCCAGATCCTCCTCATCAAGGCAGCCAAGCAGAAGGGGATCCCAGTGACGTGTGAGGTGGCCCCACACCACCTCTTCCTGTGCCAAGATGACCTGGGGCGCCTTGGGGAAGGCTGTGGTGCTGTGCGCCCAGCGCTGGGCACCTCCCAGGATCTGGAGGCCCTCTGGGAGAACATGGACACCATCGACTGCTTTGCCACTGACCACGGTGAGCCCTTGTGGGCACAGGGCAGAGATGAATGGGGTCAAGCATTGTGGTAACATTCCCCACCCTGCAGCCCCCCACACACTGGAGGAGAAGCAAGGCCCCAAGCCGCCCCCTGGCTTCCCTGGGCTGGAGACCATGCTGCCTCTGCTGCTGACTGCTGTCTCTGAGGGGCGGCTGACGGTGGAGGATATCATCCTGCGCCTCTACGAGAACCCCCGCAAGATCTTTGGGCTGCCGGCACAGGAGGACACCTACGTGGAGGTGGGTCACTGTTCCACTGCCTACCCCACAGCCAGCCCCAGACTCTGACCACTCTCCCTGCAGGTGGACTTGGAGCAAGAGTGGGTCATCCCCGAGCGCACTGCATTTTCCAAGGCACAGTGGACACCTTTTGAGGGCAGGAATGTGAAGGGGACAGTGCGCAGGGTGGTGCTGCGTGGGGAGGTCGCCTACATTGATGGGCAGGTGGGAACCAAGTGCCACTCTCCATGCTGCTCCCCTACATCCAGGGGTCCCCGAGCACCAACTCCCCTCAGCTAAGGGTCTCTGGGCACTGATCACTCTCTGTCTGTGGCCACAGGTCCTGGTGCCCCCTGGCTACGGGCAGGATGTGAGGAAGTGGCCCATGGGAGCTGTGCTGGCACCGCTCGTGCCCCCCACCAAGGAGATCGTGAAGGTAACGGGGTGCAGGGTGCCAGGGGGGCACAACCCGTGCCGTGCTCCAGCTCATCCTCTCTCTGCAGACCCCCGAGCGGCCCCGGCACGCAGCGGTGGGTGAGACGCTGCGCAGCCGAGCCTCCAGCCCACGCCGTGCCGGCCCCGTGCCTGAGGGCCGCTTCCACCTCCCGCCCCGCATCCACCGTGCCTCTGACCCTGGTCTGCCAGGTGAGGGGGGCACAGCGCGGCGTGGGGGGACAGCGTGCATGTGGCCGTGTGGGAGCCGTGTCGGGGCCGGGTGCCGCGCTGACCCTGCCCTTGTGTCCCGTTCAGCGTTCCGGAGGCTGGGAGCCGCGCACCGCCCGGGCGCCCGAGGCACCGGTAATGTTGGGGGGGACTCACTCAGCCCCGCGTTATGGCACTATAAGCGCAGCCGATGAGTGCAGCCCCCCCCAGGTGCCGCGCCAGCCCCGGGCCCCTGTGCTGCTTTTGCGAAGGGCTGAGTCCTTGGGACGGGGCACAGCGGTGCTCCCCTCCCGCTCAGCCCCAGCCCGCCTGGCACCTCGGGGCCCTGTGCCTCCCACGATCAGGGCTGCGTCCCATTGGGTTCCATGGGGTGCATGCGGGGCACAGCGCGGGGGCTTGACCCAGCTCGTTTTGGGGCAAGCATCACTGTAGCGTCGCGTCTGTGGTGCTGAGGGGGCCAGGAGCTCTGCGCTCTAATGCTGCCTTCCCCTCTCATGCTCAGCTGAGGACACACGGGAGAAGGCTGGCAGGAGGGTGGCAGAGGCAGGTGAGTACCGGGGGCTGGGAGCTCTGCGTGCTTCCTGTGTGGGCTCACTGTGTGCTCCTGGTGCCATAGATGCGACGGCCACTCAGGACAGCCACCCCCACCTGTCGGGCCCCTTCCCACGCCAGGCGTCCCCCCAAGGTGTGCCCCATTTCCCCACCTCACCGCTGCTGCACCCCCTGGTCGGGCAGCACATCCTCTCCGTGCGGCAGTTCTCCAAGGAGCAGGTGGGTGCCAGGTGGACACGGGGTGGGGGGGGAGGTCTCCATGCTGGGTGCCCCCTCTGAGCCACATCTCCCCGCAGATGTCACATCTGTTCAATGTGGCACACACCCTGCGCATGCTGGTGCAAAAGGAGCGCAGTTTGGACATCCTCAAGGTGAGCAGGGAGCGAACGCTGCGTGCCCCACACCCCTCCCCACGCCTGACACCACGTCCTGCAGGGCAAAGTGATGGCATCCATGTTCTACGAGGCGAGCACGCGCACCAGCAGCTCCTTTGCGGCCGCCATGTGCCGGCTGGGCGGCTCTGTGGTGTCATTCTGCGAGGCCACCTCCTCGGTGCAGAAGGGCGAGTCGCTGGCTGACTCTGTGCAGACCATGTGCTGCTATGCCGACGTCCTGGTGCTGCGGCACCCCCAGCCTGGAGCTGTGGAGGTGAGCGGGAGGGCTGCTTCCTACCACGTGGCAGTGCTCTGGTGCCGTCAGCATACGTATTTCACTCTTGGCCCACTCTGTGCCCAGCTGGCCGCCACACACTGCCGCAAGCCTGTGATTAATGCTGGTGATGGAGTGGGCGAGCACCCGACGCAGGCGCTGCTGGACATCTTCACCATCCGTGAGGAGCTGGGCACCGTCAATGGCATGACGGTGAGATGCTGTATGCCGTGCTGTGGGCTGCTAGGTGCCGTGCTGGGCCGTGCCCTGGGTCATGCTGACGGCTCTCCCCGCAGATCACCATGGTGGGTGACCTGAAGCACGGGCGCACGGTGCACTCGCTGGCCCGCCTGCTCACGCAGTACCGTGTCCACCTGCGCTACGTCACACCCCGCGGCCTCGGCATGCCACCCGACATCGCTGCCTTCGTGGCTTCCAAGGGCATCTCGCAGGTGAGGAATGGAGCTGGGGCTGTGGGGCTCTGCCCACCCTATGGCCCCGCTGATAGTGCTGCCCCAGGAGGAGTTTGGGAGCATTGAGGAGGCGCTGCCCGACACCGACGTGCTCTATATGACCCGCATCCAGCGGGAACGTTTTGAGAGTGCTGAGGAGTACGAGGCTGTGAGTGCAGGCTGGGTGGAGGGCTGGGTGGAGGGCTGGGAGGGTCCCCACCCCCTTGCTCAGGGCTGTGGCTCCACAGTGCTTCGGGCAGTTCATTCTCACACCGCACATCATGACGAGGGCCAAGGAGAAGATGGTGGTGATGCACCCCATGCCCCGTGTCAACGAGATCAGGTGGGGTTGAGGTGGGCAGTCTTGTGGGAGGGTTATGGAGTCCTGGAATGCGGGAGGAATGGTAGGAAGGGAGATAGGGGCTTGGGGGGAGGAGAGAAGGGATGCAAGGTTTGGATGCTGTCCAGGTGAGGAAGAATGGGATAAAGGGGGGGGGATGCAACCAGGTGGTGGGGTCCTTGGGGCAGCAGGGGATCAGGGCTGGGTTGTGGGGGAACAGGGAAGGGTCCTGTCCCGGTGGGGAGGGAAATGTGAGATGACGGGATAAATGGGGTCTGAATGTGGGGGCCTGGGGCGAGGGGATCGCATACAGCTGGGGTCCTGCGGGCAAACGGTGGGAATAGGGGCTGCGGAGGGGGGGGAATTAGTTTCTATCCAGACCTCCTCGCTGCCCGGGCCCTGGAAGGGAGGGGGGGGGGGGGGGGGGGGGGAAATCCTCCCGGTACTGACGTCACATCCGCAGCGTGGAGGTGGACTCGGACCCGCGCGCCGCGTACTTCCGGCAGGCAGAGCAGGGCATGTACGTGCGGATGGCGCTGCTGGCCACCGTGCTGGGCCGCTACTGACGACAATAAACTGCGACGGGGCACCGCCTCGCTTCAGCCAATCGTGTGCCGCGCTGGGGTGTGCGTCATCATTCCGCGCCGTGTCACGTGGCCATGTGGGCGGCATGGCGGCGCTGCGGCGGCTCCTGGCGCGGCGGCCCGGGGCCGTGCAGGCGCTGACCGCCGGTAAGGGCCCGGCTCGCCCCCCTCTGCACCGCACGACGACTCCGTGGGCCGGGGGGTGCCGGTAGTGGTGGGGCCTTGGGGATGGGAGGAGCTGTAGGGGCCTTGGGTCTGATCGGCCCCGGCGCCTGGGCCTGCAGAGGGCTTTCCCCGGCGGCCGCCCCGGGCTCCGTCGGCCGCTCCTTGGTCCGTTCCGTGTCCTCTGGGGCCCCTCCGTGTCCAGGACGGGCGATGCCGCGAGCCCAGAGCACCCTCCACCTTTCCGGGTGGATCCCCGCATGTAGCCCTGAGCCCACTGAAACACGCTTCCCCGGAATGGGGAGTTGGGGGATGGGAGCGCCTCCAGCCTCCGCTGCCCATCCCCCCCGTTCCCCGTGGGGTGACGGCACCGTCTCTGCTGCCAGCCGCTGCTGGGGGTGGTGCCAGGCGCTGGGGCTGTGCCAGGCCACCTCACCGTTCCCTTTGTTATTTTTATCTCCTCTGATGGAATTCACTGCCTGGCACCCGCTGTGGGGCTGTGCCGCCGCGATGTTCCTCCGTGTCCTGGAGGAGGGCCAGGCAGAGCCGGGGGGGCTCACGCTGAGCACACGCTGCAGTTTGAGACTTGCTCTGGGCTCCTCTTCACCGTTGCTTCTCCCCACTGGAGCTGACTCTTCTGCAGTGTGGGGCAGCCCCTGAGCTGACTGTGGGAGTGCGCAGCCCTCGGTGCTGATTGGGATTTGGTGGCCAAGGAGGGGCTCAGTCCTTGTGTCTGGGCACACCTGAAGGACTGCAGCCCCCCACGTTCCAGCCCTGAGCTCCGGTCCCGCTGTGCAGCTGAGATGTTCCCCCAGCATAGAGCTGCAGCCGGGGCCAGGCCGGGGACATTTCCTGGCAGCTGCTTGCACTGGGGGCAGCCAGCAGTGGTGAGAGCTGCGGGGCAGCACTTTACCTCCTGCAGGCTGGGCTGGGGGCCAGCATGCCAGCAGAGCCTGAATCCGGCGGCGGCGGCAGCAGCACGTGCCCGCAATGGTGACCTGGTGACCTCTGCCTGCAGTGAGCAGCCCTGCAGCCAGCGAGGCCCACGGGGGCTGCCTACACTGTGCCCTACTTAGGCTTGAGTGCGCTCCAGGGCCCTTGGCTGCAGCGCGTGGGAGCGGTAGATTCAGCAAGCAGGGCCTGGGGGGACTGGGGGATACAGCAGTGGACTCGTTATGGGTTTGGGTCAGGATCACTGTCACCAGACCCTCCTGGGCCACCCCAGCTGCATAGCCTGTCCCTTGCCCGTCAGGGTGGGAGCACATTCTGGGGGTTGCATCCCCCCATGGATGAATTCATGCTGGGTGCACATTGCTCTGGCTGTGACCTTAGGCTGGAGTCTGCTCTGTGAGAGGCTGCAGGGGCTGACATTGGGGGTGCTCCAAGTTCTCAAGAAGGGAGCAGAAGCATGAGGGCTGGAGCACTGCCTGGGAGTGCTGGGAGTGAGCATGGAACCCACAAGGCTGGGGCACAGAGTGCTGAGCCAAGGGAGTTGCGTCGAAGAGGTCAGGAGGGCAGGACGGGGCGGGGACTGCCAAAGACCTGCTGAGCTGCACCCCACTGAGGGCGTGGGCACGCAGCTAAATCCTGCACACTGATATGGAAACACTGCTCCGAACTGTGCCAACGGCCAGGAGGAACCAGGAGTAGTTCTGGCACCAAGCAAGAAACGGCACAACTGGGGATCAGCTACTTGTGAGGCTGGGGGCTGTGCTCGGGCAGGACCCACACCCCCTCCCCGCTGCCCTCCTGAGCTCCAGGCCGGTTGCAGGGGCACTGATGGGAGCCGGCGATGTGATCGCACAGCAGCTGGTGGAGCGGCGCGGGCTGCACGGGCACCACAGCCAACGCACCCTGAAAATGACAGCCATTGGCTTCTGCTTTGTGGTGAGTGCTGATGTGGGGGGCACACGTGTCAAGCTGTGGTGTGGGCAGGTGGCTGCCCAGCTCTGTGGGCACCACACTGCCCAGGCACCGTGCTCAGCACGCAGCTCTCGCAGGGCCCCGTTGTGGGCGGGTGGTACAGGATCCTGGACCGGCTCATCCCAGGGGCCACGAAAGCCGTGGCCGTAAAGAAGATGATGCTGGACCAGGTCAGTGCTACGTGGGTGTGGGGATGGGGCGGCAGGACGGTGCTGCCTCCCTCCTGCTGCTGCTCTCGGGTGCTCCCAGATTTGCAGGCCCCATTCCTACAGCTGTGTGCCGGGGGCTCTGGGCACTTCAGGGCCTCAGCCAGGCTCCTGCTGCTTTCTTGCAGGGCGCCTTTGCACCGTGCTTCCTCGGCTGCTTCCTCGCCATCACCGGGGTGATGAACGGACTGTCGGTGGAGCAGAACTGGGCCAAGATCCAGCAGGTGCGTGCCTGCCCCAACCAGCTTGGGGCTGTTGGGGCCAGGATGCCTGTTTGGCTCTAACATTCATGGTGCTGGGTTTGCCCCTGACCTGTCAGCTCCCTGCTGCCCTCGTGGCTGTTGTGTCCCCAGCCCAGAGCTGGCTGCTGCTGCTGCCCCACTGCTGGGGTGGGGTGTTGATGGCTTTGGGATACAGAGCAGCCACTGTGGGGCCAGACACAGATTGGTGCTTGGTGCAGCATCTTACAGGAGGCGACAAGTGCAGGAGTGGGACACGCTGTGGGGTCCCACATGGGCTGGATGCAGTGCCCCCAGCTCCCTGTATGCCATCTGTCCCCTCTCCTGGCCACGTCTCAGAGCCATTACTGAGATGGTTCCCATTAGCAGCGATTGCTGGAACCCAGTGCAGGCGCTGAGTCAGCGCGGCCGGAGGGTGACTCACCGGGGAGCGGGTGCCCACCCGCCATGGGACACAGCATGAGGGGATGAGGGGTGCTCACTCATCTGCCGGGGTGCAGCATACGGTGCCTCGGGGCTGTGGGTGAGATCCCCACCCTGCAGGCTGTAACTGGAGCGAGGTGCCCCAGGTGAGCTGGGAGCCTCAGGCTCTGCTCTGGGGACACCTTCACCCCCATTTGGGGCACATCTGCTTCTCCCCACGTAGAGGGAGCGTCACAGCGCATCCATCACCCCAGCGCTCGCTCTCCCCGTTCTGGGCCGCCGGCCAGTGCCGGGATGAGGCCGGATCCCGGCTGAGTCACAGCCAGGCTGGGCAAGGGGACGGGCGGCGTGCTGTGCTCCCCCCTTGTCCCTGACATCTGTGACCCTGGAGGGCTGCACCAGGGCTGGTGGCAGGAGCTGTGCCCCAGACCTGCTGCAGGGCTCCTGGCTACCTCCTGCCCCCATGCTGCCACCACTCCCAGCCCTACATGGGCACGTCAGGGGAAGGGGGACCTGCTGTGTGCCCAGTCTGGGGGGACTACGGCCCCTGCCTGCTGCATGCTGGGTCACAGCTGTCCCTGCACTGCTCCTCTGCTCTCAACTGTGCCGGGCTGTGTGGGGTAGTGTGGTTACAGGGCTGTTCCCTGTGCTCATGGCCTCTACCTTCCCTAGGACTATGTGGATGCACTGCTCACCAACTACTGTGTAAGTGCTGAGGATGGAATCCTCGGTTGGATTCCCTGATCCTGTGGCACAGAGCCGCCTGTGGCCCCTCATATCACTCCTCCCCTCTGCCCAGATTTGGCCGCCGGTGCAGATCGCCAATTTCTACTTCGTCCCTCTGGTCCACAGGTAGTAGCATGGCTCCATGGCCCCATGGATCCCGTTCCCCATGGCTGTGACTGCTGACCCATCCATCTCTCTGTTCCTAGGCTGGCCGTCGTGCAGTGTGTTGCCATTGTTTGGAACTGCTACCTGTCCTGGAAAGCAAACCGGCTTTGAGGGGGGGGAGGGGGGAAGCCGTGCTCCAGGTGCCCCCACCCACCACCTCTGGGGTCTCGGCCAATGAGCGTGTGTGGGGCTGGAGCACCGTGCAGTCCCCCACAGGGATGTTATGGCAGTGATGACCCCGTGGGGCTGTGAGACCGCTCTGTCCATGCTCCGTGCCCTGCCCAGCACGTGGGGTGCTCCGTCCTTCCCCAGCCTCGCTGCTGGCTCAAACCCCACGTGTGACAGTGCGATCGCTACAGTACCTCCACCCAGACTCGTGTCGGGACCCTCAGGAGCACCCAATAAATGCACCGCTCCGCTGCCCCTGGCAACGTGTGAATTCTCGCTCCCCCGCCTCCCCGTAGCGTTTTGGGGACGGGGGTTCAGCCATCGGCCCGCCGTTACCCCATCCTCGCCGGGCGCGGTGCCGCGGTGCCGTACCCCTGAGCCGCATGGCACCGCGCTCGCCGTTATGAGTCACGCCGTTGGCCACCGCCGCTTCCTCGGGGCCGTCTGCAGCGCTTGGCCGCGGCGTGCGGGACCGGCGCGATGCCAGGGGGGGTGCACCGGGGGAGGGAGGGTCGGGAGGGGATGTCGCGACGGTGCGGGAGTCCGGCACCCCATCTCCGACGGGAAACGCAGCCCCGACGGCCGCCTCGCCCCGACGGCGCTGCGCCCCGCGGCGCCCTTTCAGCACCACGGAGAGCGGCACCGAGAGAGGGGCGCGGGGTGCGGGCGTGAGCGGTGCGGGGCGCCGGGCGGGGTGCGGGGTGCGGGTGGTGAACGGGTAGCGGAGCGCGGCGGGTCCGGAGAGGCCGCTCCCGATCCCGGTGCGGTTCGGACCAGCCGCTCCCCCCAGCCCCGCACCCCCCGCCCCCGCCCGGTGCGTGCCCGCCGCTGACGTCAGCCCCGCTCCGGGCCCCATATAAAGCCCCGAGCGCGGCTCCGGCTCAGCCCCGCGGGGACGGACGGAGCTCCGCACAGCGCACGGCGCCCAGAGCTCAGCGCAGCGGTACGGGCGGTGCGGGGCGGGACGGTGCGGGGCGGGACGGGGGACGCTCGGCCCCGGGGAAGCCCCGTCGGGTGCGGACTCCTCGCTAACCCACGGCCCCGCAGGTGCGGAGGAGCCGAGATGCGGCGGGCGCTGCTCACCGTTCTGCTGCTGCTGTGCCGCCCGTTCCCCGCCGCCCCCCGCCCCGCACGCCCCGACGGCCACGACGGTCCCGACGTTCCCGGCTCGGGGATCCCCGCGGCGGAGGGGAGGTCCGAAGTGCTGTGGCCGCCTCTGCCCGCGGAGCCGTGGAGGGCGCGGAGGGACGACCCGCCGCTCTCTATCGACCTCACGTTCCATCTCCTGCGGCACCTCCTGCTGCTCGCCCGCGCCCAGAGCCAGCGCGCCCGCGCCGACACCAACCGCCGCATCCTCGACGCCGTGGGACGTTGAGCCCCGCGCCGGCACCGCACCGCGTCGGGACCGCTCCGACGTGTGCGCGGCTGCGGGACTGCCCCTCGGGACGGCCCCGCTCCGATTTTGTAATAAAACGCTGTAGAAAAGCCGTAGTGTGGACCTGCGTGCGGGGCACCGTCTCCATCTCCGCCGCGTCCCCAACCTCGGATATTTGCAGCCCACGGTAAGACCCTCCCCGAGCCCCCCCGATCCAGGCTGAGCGGCCCCGATTGTGCCCCATCCCCACCCGGCAGCCATCACTGCCCCCCATCCCCTTCTGCCGCTGAAGGCCGCAAGCCAAGCTGGGATCCGTGGGGCACAGAGACACCCGGTCCCTGTCCCCGTGCATCAGCGGTGACGTGGGGCGGCTGACGCGGCGCAGTGCAGCGGTGGGGCGGGGGCACGGGCCGTGACCCACCGGTAATTGCAGCGCTGTGTGCTCAGCCTGGCGCTGTTTGCTCGGTGCACCCAGGGGACGGTGCTGCCAGACGGCGCTGCGGGGGTGGCAGACGTGGGTGCTCCCCCCAGACATGGGGCTGCAGGCGGAGCGCAAAGCCCTGGTGCGAGAGGCACCCAACTCATCCCCACACACCACACCTTACAGTGTCCTCTCGATAGGTTTAATGAGGGCTGAGGGCAGCCCCACCATGTGGGGCTTCGTAGCAGTCGTAGGGCTGTAGGGTTTGCTGATGCCAGTGTTGTGCTGCGAATCCAGCTCAGTGCTGACCTGCACCGGACATTGGCCTCAGCACTGTGCCCAGCACAAAGTCCCCATCCCATCTCATCCTCATCCCATAACCATCCCTATCCCCATCCGCATCCCATCCCCATCATATCCCCATCCCCATCTCTATCTTCATCCCCATCTCATTCCCATCCCATCCCCATCCTATTCCCATCCCATCCATATCCTATCCCCATTCTCACTCCATCCCTCTCCCCGACACCATTCCCACCCATCCTCACCCCATCCCCATCGCTATCCCCATCCCTATCCTGTCCCCATCCCATTCCCATCCCCATCCTCACTCCATCCCTCTCCCTGTCCCCATTCCCACCCATCCTCACCACATCCCCTGCCACCCCATCTCCATCCCATCCCCATGCCTTTCCCCATCCCCATGCCTTTCCCCATCCCATTCCCATTCCTCTCATCACACCCGGCTCATCCCCACAGAGCATCTCACCATGGGGAGAGCTCAATGGCTTCTGTCTTTGCCCCACATCTGTGGAGAAAAAGCAGTGGACAGACAGAGGAAGGGACACATGGTGCGGTGTGAGACCATGCACCATACAGGGCCACACTGCAACCACAGAAGCACCATGGTGACTTTAGCACAGCATAGCATGGCACAGCACAGCACACACTCACCCTCAGCAGCCTCAGGTGCCTCCAGGCTCTCCTCATCCCCCACACCCTCACTGCTGTCCGTGGGTCCGTCCCCATCATCCTCACCCAGTGCTTCTGTGGGGCAGAGGCACACCTCAGTGTGATGACATCCACATAGCAGTCTCCCCGTCCCGAGGCAGTGCCTGCTCCATGCTGGCACCTGGCTGAAAGTCGATGGTGCGCAGCATCTCAGCCACGTGGTCCACATTGATGGAGAAGTGGTCCATGCTCTCATAACCAGGCTCAGGGCGGCTGCTCATCGACACCTTGGACATGTCTGTGATCCTGGGAGTAGAGCAAGCAGCATGAGCCCTGCCCCCCCACTCCCCCACGCCATCCCCATCTCATTCCCATCCCATCACCTCCCATCCCACCCTACCCCCACTCACTTCTTCAGGAGCTCCTTGGAGTGCTGTGGGGGAAAGCAAAGTGCCATCAACATCCCAGGAGCAACGCACCAAGCCGCAGAGCACAGGGCAGAGCCCCCCGCACGCAGCCCCCCCAGACACCTGCAGGTACACGGCCATCTGAGGCTCCTCCATGGCCTGGATGGCCGTCTCCACCAGCTTGGAGGAGGCCTCCAGGTGGTCCCCGTACTGCCGGATGAGGCCGCGCACGCGTTGCACCTTCGCCTCCTGCTCGCGGGTGACGCTCTGCAGCAGCTCCTTCTTGCGCTCCTCCAGGATGCTGCAGAGCGAGTCGAAGCGCAGCCCCACGTGCTGCTTCTGCCGGCGGCCGTTCTCCTGCAAGACCCCCCCGGGGGCTCAGGGGGGTTGCCGTGCTCCCACCCCAGCCCTACTGATGGCACTGCCCCGGGGACACCCGCATTCCGTGCCTGCAGCGGGCATTTCCTTCCCAGGAGCGTCCCACGATGTGGACGCAAGCCATGGGGTGGGGGTCTCAAACCACACAGACCCCACGCACGGGGCCTGGGGAGGGGGGAGGAACGCACACATAGGGCAGCCCCACCTCGATGGTGCGGCAGATCTCCTCCATCTGCGTGATGATGGCCTGGATGCGGTCGTTCCCTGCCACCAGCATGGCGATGCCGTCGCTCAACTCGCTCTGGGAGGCGGAGCAGCGTCAGGGTCGTGCTGGGAAACCACCCCACCGTGCCCATCCGTCCCATAGCCCCTGGGGGTCACCCACCTTCTGGCGCTGGTACACGGCGGGCAGAGGGGCGACCTCGCAGTCCTTGTGAGCGCCGAACACCTTGCAGAGCGAGCAGGTGGGCGCCTCACAGCGCAGGCAGTAGATGTTGATGCGCTCGTCCTCGTGCTCCTCGCACATCAGCTGTTGCTCCGCCTTCGCGTGCAGGGGGCTGCGGGGCGGGGTGGGGGTGGGGAGAGGGCGCTGCGCCCCACGGCACAACCTCACGGCACCCCTCTGCCCTATAGCATCCTCCTGCCCCACGGCACTCCCTCCCCCACGGCACCCCTCTGCCCTATAGCATCCCCCGCCTCATTGCACCCTCACGCCCCACCGCACCCCAGCCCCACAGAAGCCCCTTTACCCCAAATCCCCCCCACCCCCAAGCCTTATTCCCCCTCGTGTCCCCTGCGCAACCCTCAATACCCCACACGCCATGGCACCCCCTTGTCTAACCTCACCCCACGGTGCTCCCAAGCCCCTCAGAAGCCCCTTTAACCCCAAATCCGCCTCCCCGCTCTCAACGGGTTCCCTCCGACCCGTGTCCCGCGTGGGCCGCCCCGCACCGCGCGGACTCCTGCTTGTAGATGTCGATGATGTTCTCCACCAGCAGGTTCCGCTGCAGCCCGTACACCCCGTGCCGGTCCAGCACCACCTCGTGGCGACACGACGGGCACCGGAACCGCCCCCCGGACGGCCCCGCGCCGGAACCCCGCGACTGCCACAGCGGGTTGGAGGCCTGGGGGTGGGGGGGGACAGAGTTAGAAGGGGAGAGCAGGGCGGGGGGGTCAGCGCGCCGCTTCGGGAGAGAGACCCCCCCCCCCTCCTCCAGAGAACGGAGCCCCCAGCCCAGGGCACAGCGCACCAGGTCCCGGCGCCCCGCCTCGCCCCGCACCTGGAAGACGTCGTTGGCGCACTTGCGGCAGAGGTTGTGCTGGCAGGGCAGGATGACCACAGGCTTGGTGAACATCTCCAGGCAGATGGGGCAGATGAGCTGCTTCTCCAGGCTCTCCATGCTGCGCGCTTCCGCCAGCAGCGGCTTCAGCCCCACCGCGAAGTTCATCGCCGCGATCCCGGTACCTCTCCGGTACCGCTTCTGTCCCGCACTGCCCCGCTCCGGCCCCGCAGCTCTAATTTTAGCCGCCCCCGCCCCGTCGGGGCCGCGCAGCTGTCGACGGCGTCGGGTGACACTGAGTCACGGCGGGCGGCCGTCCCACCGCCGGGGTCACTCCGTCCCGACGCCCCCCGGGAGCGGCACGGCACTGCCCCCTACCCCCCAACCCAGCCCAACCCCACCGCCGCCCCTTCGAGACAAGAGACCACACCGCCGAACTCCCCCCCATCATCCTTTAATGGTGCCCATAAAATCTATACAAACCCACGGAAAGTGCCTGAAGGGTCCCAGCCCCATAGACGAGCGCGGTGCGGCCCCGCGGTGGGGCAGAGAGGGGCAGGGCAGGCGGCACCTCCCCTCCCTCCTTCCCTCCCCCCCCACTCCGCCCCACCCCGTCAACCCCAGAGCAGCGTTTGGCACCCAGCGCCCGACAGGGGGGTCCGGCCCCGTGGTTACAGTGCTACCGGTCTCGGTCACAGCGCTGCAGGACGGTTTCACCTGAGATTGTGTCCCCCCCCCACACCCCCCAGACGGGGTCCTGGGGAGCGGCGGTGGTCCAGGAGGAGGCTCTCCCCCCCCAGTCCCCCTCCCCCGGCACATAGGCGGCCCTATGCCTCGCTCCTGGCTCCGGCAGCAGGCAGGGGCTGGGCGCTGCTTTGGGAGGGCTGTGCTTCCACCGGGATCTGTGGGTCTGGAAAGAAAAGGTGGTGGTCAGTGGAGCTGGGGAGGGGGTCCTGGGGGTCCTGGAAGCGATGTGGGGCTGCCCGCTGGCATCAGCACGGCCCTTATGTTGCAGACCCTGAGGAAACCAAGGGAGCTCCCAGCCCATGGGTCCCACCAGCCCCCAAGTCTCTGTGAGCCAGGAACATCATGGGGTCATGATTTCAGACCCCAACTCACCGCCGTCATCATCCGCCTCCAGGTCCTTGGGGTCGACATACTTATAGGACTCGTCCTCGCGGGGCGGGCAGCACCTCCCACAGCAGAAGAAGCAGCAGCAGAAACAGCAGCAGCAGGTCAGCACACCACAACACAGCGCCAGGGCCTGCGGGATGGGATGTCACAGCCTGCAGCTTCTCAGAGACCCCTGAGGCTACCCTGAGACCCCCAGGACACCCTAAGGGCCTGGGATTGCCACGAGAGCCATGGGGCTGCTCTAAGACCCCAGGGCCCAGCTGCCATGTGATCCCCAGGGCCACTATCAGACCTCAGGCCCAGGCACTGTGAGACTCCAGGGCTGCCTTGAGAGCCCTGAGACCCCAGTGTCCAACTGCCCTGAGATCCACAGGGCCACTGTAAGACCCCAGGAGCCATCGTGAGACCTCAGAGCCCTCCTGAGACTCCAGACCCAGACACTGTGAGACCCCAGGGCTGCCTTGAGACCTCTGGGATTGCACACTGACACCTCTGGGGCCACTCTGAGATGCCCAGGGCGACCCTAAGACCCCAGTGGTCAGCTGCTATGAGATCCCTAGGGTCACTGTAAGACCCCAGGACCACCTGAGACCTCAGACTGAGACACTGTGAGACCCCAGGGCTGCCTTGAGACCCCTGGAGCCTCACTGAGATCCCTGGGGCCACCCTGAGACCCCAGTGTCCAGCTGCCATGAGAATCCCAGGGACACTGAAGGACACCTAGAGCCACCCCAAGACCTTGGGGACCCCCTAAGACTCCAGACCCAGGCAAGTATGTGATTCCAGAGCTGCTCTGAGACCCCTGGGGCCACTCTGAGAACCCCAGTGTCCAGCAGCCATGAGAATCCCAGGGCCACTATAGGACACCTGGAGCCACCCTAAGACCATAGACCCCCAGACCCAAGCACTCTGAGACCTCAGGGCTGCCTTGAGACCCCTAGAGCCCCATTGAGATCCCTGGGGCCACCCTGAGACCCCAGTGCCCAGCTGCCCTAAGATGCCCGGGGCCACTGTAAGACCTTGTGAGTCACTGTGAGATCCCAAGGTCCTCTTGAGACCCAGACCCAGGCACTGTGAGACCCCAGGGCTTCCTTAAGACCCCTGGAGCTCCACTGAGACCCCTGGGGCCACCCTGAGACCCCAGTGTCCAACTGTCCTGAGATCCCCAGAGCCACTGTAAGACCTTGGGAGCCACCATGAAACCTCAGGGCCAACTGAGACCACAGACCCAGACACTGTGAGACCCCAGGGCTGCCTTGTGACCCCTGGGATTGCACATTGACACCACTGGGGCCACTGAGATGCCCAGGCACCCTGAGACCCCAGTGGCCAGCTGCTATGAGATCCCCAGGGCCACCTGAGACCCCAGAGTGAGACACTGTGAGACGCCCAGGGCTGTCTTGAGATCCCTGGAACCTCACTGAAACCCCAGGGCCACCCTGAGAACCCAGTGCCCAGCTGCCAAGAGAATCCCAGAGCCACTGTAAGAGCCCAGAAGCCACTGTGAGACCCCAAGGCCCTCCTGAGACCCGAGACACAGGCACTGTGACACCCCAGGGCTGCCTTGAGACCCCTGGAGCCTCATTAGGACCTCTGGGGCCACTCTGAGAACCCAGTGTCCAGCTGCTATGAGATCCACAGGGCCACTGTAAGACCCCAGAGCCACCTGAGACCCCAGACTCAGACACTGTGAGAACCCCAGGGCTGCCTTGAGACCCCTGAGATTACACATTGAGACCTCTGGGGCCACTCTGAGATGCCCAGGGCCACCCTGAGACCCAGTGGCCAGCAGCTATGAGATCCTCAGGGCCACCTGAGACCCCAGACTCAGACACTGTGAGACCCCAGGGCTGCCTTGAGACCCCTAGAGCCTCATTAGGACCCCTGGGGCCACTCTGAGAACTCAGTGTCCAGCTGCTATGAGATCCACAGGGCCACCTGAGACCCCAGACTCAGACACTGTGAGACCTCAGGGCTGCCTTGAGACCCCTGGAGCCTCATTAGGACCCCTGGGGCCACTCTGAGAACCCAGTGTCCAGCTGCTATGAGATCCCCAGGGCCACTGTAAGATCCCAGGGCCACCTGAGACCCCAGACTCAAACATCCAGGGCTGCCTTAAGACCCCTGGGGCCACTCTGAGACGCCCAGGACGACCCTGATACCCCGGTATCCAGCTGCCCTGAGATCCCAAGCCACTTTAAGACCCCCGGGACCACCGTGAGACCCCCACCCTCAGCTCCCCGGAGCCCCCCGTGCCCGGCGCCCACCTGGAACCACCACTGGGACATGAGGAAGTAGTGACGGACGGCATCGTCTCCGAACTGCTCGGCCACGTAGAGGCCCAGCGAGCCGTACTGATCGTACAGCTGCCTCCGGTCGGCGTCGCTGAGCGTGGCGTGAGCGCTGTTGATCTCCTTGAAGCGTTCGGCCGCCGCCGGGTCGTCTGGGTTCTTATCGGGATGGTAGCGCAGCGCCAGCTTCCTGGGGGCACACGGGGACACGGGGCGGTCCGGCACGGCCCGCTACCGAGCGCTACGGCCGCCCCACGTCCGCCGTACCGGTACGGAGCGGTACGGAACAGCACGGCCCGCCCCACGCCCGCCGTACCGGTACGCCCGCTTGATCTCCTCGGGCGAGCTGCCCTTCTCCAGCCCCAGGACGCGGTAGAGGCTCTCGCCGACCCTCGACAGCTTCCGCTGCGGCCTGCCCGGCTCCGCCATGGCCGCGGCAACGGCCGGAGAGCAGCGGGCGCGGGGCAGAGCCCGGCCGGGCCGGCAGGGAGCGCGGAGCCGCGGCCGCTTCCGTCCGTCCGTCCGTCCGTCCGACACCGCCCCGAGCGGGCGGAGCCTGGGCTGCGGGGCGGCACGGCGAAGGGCTGCGAGCGCCAGGCATCGCCCCCAGCCCCGAGCACTGACCCCAGCCCCTGGTCCTCAGGCACTAGTCTCCCACACTAGCCCCCAGGTCTACCCCCACCCGACCAGCCCCCAGTCCCTCCCATTAGCCCCCAGGACTAGTCCCCCCACCAGCCCCCACCCCACCAGCCCCCAGCCTCTAGGACTAGTTCCCCCACTAGCCCCCAGGTCTACCCCCTCACCCCACCAGCACCCAGCACTAAGCAACAAGCAGTCGGTGCCCGCCCCATTGGGGACATCCCCGAACAGCACCCACCGCCACCCCTCAGTCCCCACCCCGAACACCCCGCAGCGCTGTGCCCCCCTCTCTTTCCCCCCCCGCCTCCTCGCTATGAGCCATCGGCGGTGGCCGCGCTGCTGCTTTATTCCGGTACAAAACGAAGGCGGCCACGTACAGTACGGAGCGGGCGGCAAAGCGGAGGGAGGGGCTTCGGCCCCCCCATGGCCCCCGGCCCGAAGAACCTGAGCAAGAAGCATGGCACGGCCCAGCCCTGAAGGGAGGGGGGGGCCTGAGGAGCAGCCCCTGCCCCAGTGTGGTCCCCTCCCCCCCAAAAAGAGATCTTCGGGGAGGACAGTACGGCCCCACCGCCGCGGGGCTGGAATGCAAAGGAGTGTTTGAATATCAAACCCCCTCCCGTCCCGCCCCCCCCCCCTACGCGGGGGTGACGGGGCACAAGGAGGAGCCCCCCCCATCCCTGATGGTCTGCAGCAGCGCCGAGGGAGCGGCTGCTCAGAATAAATACAAATAAATACAGATTCCAGCAACGCAGGACCCGACCCGGGACCCCGCTGGGTGGGTGGGTGGGGGAAAATGGTGGCACTGTGCCCCCCCGGGGCCGGCGGGCTCAGCAGTCCATGGCTTCGCTGTCGGTGCAGGCGGGCGGTGCATCGGTGCCGAAGTACCTGTCCCCAAAGTTCCCTGCGGGAGACAGGGAGGGGGTGAGCGGGGTGACCAACAGAAGCATCCCTCCACCCCCCCCCCCCCCCCCCCCCCCCCCCCCCCCCCCCGGCCCTCACCGATGCCGGGGATGATGTGAAACTCCTCGTTGATCCTCTTGTCCACAGCCGTGGTGATGATGCGGACTCGGGGGAATGCGTAAGCCACCGAGTGCACCCCCATCTCGGCCATCAGCAGCGACAGCAAGAAGATGCGCTCCTCCGGCACGTCGTGGTCCTACAGCACGGCACCATCAGAGCCCTGCCCGTGCCCCCCCGTGGGCTGTGAGCCCCCCACCCTGCCCGACCCCTCACCAGCAGCACGCGTACGGCCATCATGGCAGCAGCGCCGGTGGACACGGTGCTG